AATTTAAAAACACTGTCCATTATCATTATCACCATTATTATGCCATTGTCGTCATCATCATCATCATGGTCACCATGCTTCCTACTTAGACTATGCTGACACAAGATTCACAGACACATTTAGAACAATGATTATAGCTTCTTTTACTGAGCTGACAAAGTCAGTTCTTTCCTCTTTTGCCCATGATTCTAAAAGTATTTGCCAAAGTAAACAAACTCATTGATTTTGGATTTGGCCACTCATAATGCACCCAAGTTTTTCCCATAATCGGTCTGGATACTCCATTTCTCCTACTTATGCAACATTAAAAATCCCCTCTCCTAGTTATATGTAGCTGCCTGAGAACACAAAGCTCCTTCTTACCTGTGTGGTAAAACTTCCCTGAAAATCCAAGGTTGAAGGTAAAATTTGCAACCTGAGTGCGCAGTAAATTTTGAGTCTCTAGTAATGCCTGAAATAAATAAGAAATTAACATGATTTTAGAAAAATAAATATGAAGCTTTGGGATGCCTCTTTTTCAAATGTGATTGCATGAGTGAAACAGAATAATGTGGGCTTTGTTGCTTTTTGGGTGTTTGATGGCTACTGTTATGTGCTATTCATATTTCAGGTACTATAATCACTATTGTTATTACTTTTATTGAAGGTTACCAAATTATGAAGCGGTTAAGTCCTAAGCATATTATAAATTGCTGAGAGGCAATTCTCTAACCACACAGCGCTGAAATCATTTTTCATTTCTGTGTGAGACATTTCTTGAATTTCTGATTATTATACATCTTTTCCTTGGGGAAAATATTTCAGAATTGTTGGATGAAGACAAATCTTGTATTTGTTGGTAAGAGATAGGAACATAACTTTTGTTTAAGTTGCAACTGAGTGTTTTATTTAACCGTGCTACCTCTCCTGCCATTTTTAAGGCACAATTATTGAGTTGAAAGCTTGGATTTTTAAAAACTAAAGAGCAATTTGTATTTTATAGGGTGTTAACTGCAAATCTTGAGATATGAACAAGGAAAGGACAGGTAGGAATAAGCAATCCCATAGAGAATTATTCTCTAAATGTGGCAAACATTTTCCTAATTTCTGATTTTAGAATTATTCTATGTGAATTCCTTGTTTGTAGACCGGATAAGAGCATACCAGTAGTCTCTGCATCAGAGTTAGTCCTGTACATTTTCTGCCAGTCCTTCCACTGTTATTATTCGTATGTCAATATACGTGGTGTAATTCAGAACTCTCTTATCCTTGGGCTTTTTAGTTTGCTTACTGATTCAGAATGCTTTTTTCAATTTTTTAAATGGATTTTTTTAAAGGAGGCTTACTTTGTTCTGATGGAAATGAGCAACTCATTTCAAACCAGAGATTTACAAAGACTGATTTTTAGTTACTGCTATCCATCTTTTAAGGCGAATTGCCAGAGGTTTAGACAATGTCTTTTGAGCGTAAGTTATGGTAGCTAAGCATTTGCCTCAAAAATTTGTGAACTTAACTTTTTATTCCCCCAGAATTAAGAGGGCTGTCCTGAAAATTTGCAAAGAAAAAAGGAGAAAGAAATGACTACATAATTAACAGGTTGTATGATAAGCTATGTAGTCTATGATTATCCAAGATTACAGTTATGCTGGGTATAATCCCAGCCGATCTTATTTAAATATTATCAATTAAATAGAAAAAGGAAAAAATAGACTATTAGTTTGACTCAGTTATATACACTATTTTTAAAAAGTTCTCCCCAAAAGCAAACTAAATACTAAAAAGAGTGGAGTTAAAAATAAAACTACTGAACTAGTTGAGCTTATTGGTAAATACTGTGGAATATAGCTTTAAAAAAAATTCATGCCTCTTTTTCTTAGTGAGTTCCTTTTTCTGGCTTTCTTGTTTTGTTCAATGAACAGTCCCTGAGCTTTCATATCTTGCAATAGTTGTTGTTTTTTTTTTTAAGTTCTTCCTTCTCCTGTTCTCCTCACCACTCCAGCCCCATCTGCTCAACGTTCTACCTCTGAGTTTTTGAAGTCATTCTTTATTCCACATTTACTTATCCACCATCCATCATTAAATTCAGTACATAATTACTGTAGGTGGACAGAGTGTTGGGCTTGGCCTGCACAGCCTCTGTAAACTTGGACTTCACTGACGAGAGAGGGACAAAGAGATTAAATAGAGGGTCACACAGATGTGTAATTACAACTTGTGATAAGTGTGCAACAAAAGAAATCTAGAGCATGTTGTGACAGATGCAATAAGCAATTTAATTTAGACTGGGGAAGTGGCCCACACTTGATGCTTTCTTTGGGGCAATCTAAGTAAAATCAAACAGTCTCCCCCCACCACCCCAATCAACTTGCCATCACTTTAGGCAGGCCTCATTGTCTTTTTCTTGGACTTTTAAAACACTGTAGGCTGCTAGCCATATTCTCCACTTCCTCTGCTCTACCTTACACTCTGCAGTCCTGCTAACATCCCAAAGGCAGTCAATGCACTTCACCCTTGAGGTCAGGGAGGCCATTCAGTAAATGACTCAACTTTGTTGGTCATTTCACTTCTCTCATCTTTTCCCTTATCTGTGAAATGGGGTCATGCTTAACATTTGCTTCACACCATTACTGAGGGAATTACATTGCATAAGGCATACAAAGTGCTTAGCTAAGTGCCTGGTACTTAGAGCTCAATACATATTGTTAATGATCACTTAAAATGTCATTCTCTTCCCACCAATTAGGTATCAGCGGTGCCCCCACATTTCCAATTAAACTATATGCACTGTTGTTTCCCCCAAATCACCCTGTCCACTGAACTATTCCCCATCTCCTACCTTTTTCTATGCCTTTCCTCTGTTTCCTTTTGTTTTTTTTGTTTGTTTGTTTTTGCCTACATAATTAATAAGGCATGACTATATACATACTTTGGTATAGGGTAATGCTTTCAAAATTTCCAATCAAATATTTAAGGGTGATAGTTTTTGTTTGTCGTTCTTGTATAGTCTTTTTTATATTCAGTAACTCAAATATAAATGGTGTCTTATTTATCCTTACAAGATCTTGATGTGGGAATCAGAAGAGGTTACATCTATACTTATTTTCCAAGAGAAAAAAAAATTGCTTCATGGAAAGTTTAAATGGCCCACCCAGATAACACAAGGAGAGTGCCAAAATTGAACATGTTTGCCTTAACATTTGGTTCAACCTTAATAACTTCAGGTCTCACTACAAAAAGTCGGTATGGCCACCCAAGATGAAACAGATTTGGGATTTCATGAACTTTTGTGCCGAGACTATTTGTCAGTGTACAAATGAAGATGAATAGGACTGACCCAGGGTGAAAGCATGAAGCTTTTGAAGTTTGCCTTTGATAGTTTCTGCCTCCCTTCATGAATACTCTTTCCTCTTAGAGGCAATCTCCATTCCTTCAGGAATCTATTCTCTTCCTTTTTTCTTTTTCTTTTTTTTGTGATAAACTCTTATCGCTACGCAAAGAGGAAATTGTCTGATATAATTTATAAATTGACAAACATTATTATACCAACATGTTAAGTCTTCTAAGGAATTTCTTATTGAGCAGTTTAGCTATGATTGTGGGATTGGTGAGTTAACTAAGGTAGAATGAACACATGCTTCTCATAATAATACTGAAGAGATCTGGGGGTCTGTTGTGGGGAGAAAGGTTTGGGGTTTGGGGATCCTTCTGCTGAAATCATATTCAGTTTGAAGAACGACTTGCTGGGCAGAAAGACATCATGTTTCAGAACAATTATCTTCTTGTCTTTCTGCCCATCACCTAAGTCTCTCAGTGCCATCTCTCTTCTCTCACTTAAGTCTCTAGGAAGCCAGGAATCTGGAGCTCTCTAGGCTCTCTTCCTCTTTGTGCCATCATTCACTCATCTATCCATTCAAACAATACTGATAGAACCCTGGCTTCCTGTTTTAGGCACTCTTCTAGGTATTAAGGACATGGTGGAGAGTGGTAACAATATCTACCAGAACTGAGCTTTTACAAGAGTATTGTTAGGTACCCTTAGATGCACCCCACTCAAATTATCTCTTTAAATCTCTCCATGATCCCTTTATTAACTCAATCTTACAAGTGAGAGAAATAAGTTGCTGAGAGCCTAAGTAAGCTACGTAAGGTTATGGAGAGAGAAGGCGTCTGGTAGACAAAACCACTAAGTTTGTTGCTCTCACAGAGCTTACATTCTTTTTAGACACACAGTTTATACACATGGCAGATCAATCAAATCATTATTTAATTAATATTCATATTAGTGATGCAAAATTAATCATCATACAAGCTATTATCGAAACTAATACAACAGAGTACCTGCATTTTAACAGGACGGGCAATGAGGACCATGAAGGTCTCCCTGAAAAAGTGGCAGTTTCCTTCAGAGAGAAATGAGAAGCCAGTTATGCCCAGAACGGGGGCTCTGGGGGTGTGCTCCTGGCAAAGGGGCCAGTGAGAACAGGGTTCTGTGTCAGGAATGACCCTGGCATCTTCCTAATACACCACAGTCTACTTCACCTCACATAGGATATGATTTACATTTTAAATTGATTCCTCTGGCTACTTGCTGAGAATTAATTGTAGGAAAACTAGAGGGAAAACGGAAATCATTTAGGAGGCTTTTGTAGTAGTTCCAGTAAGAGAAAATAAAGCTCCGGCTTCTACTGGTCATACTAGGAATGGAAAGAAGTAAAGAGTGTAATTATTGATGGACTGACGTGGAAAGTAAAGTGGAGTGATTTCATTAGTGATTCAGATATCTGATATTCATTCAGTGAGGTGGGGGAAGAGTTGAGAGAGGTTTTGAGGGGAAAAGTCAATACTTCCATGGCCACACTAAGCATGTCTTTCCCACAACAGGATGACTGTGTTGCTGAAACCTCTACCTCCCCCCTAACAGGAGAAACAGAGTTTAAAGTCCCACATTGTCATTGCATTCAAACGTTGGTACCCATGGTTGGAGGTAAGTGCACAATGAATGAATATAGTAGTAAGGGGAGTGGTCTCATAGTTCGAGGAGAGCTTTTTGAATACCGAGAGGTTAAAGATACATGCAAAGAGAAGAGAAAAATTGAAAATTAGTTTGACCTTGTAATATTAATTCATGTCACGTATGTGAAGAGATGGTATTTTCTGCTTGATTATCAAAAGAACACAATGAAGGTTATAGAAATCATTAAACCTGAAGTGCATTTACAATGCTGTAAATTTTATTTGACTGTATCAGCAAAGCACTCCATGTGTCTTTGACTTCCTTCCTGGTGGTTGTGGATGGTTTTGTCTTGTGCCCTAAACTTTGTTATGGAGGAATGCCATTGGCATCTCTATGTCCATAGAATTCTAAGCCACTGACTGTGGTCCATTCTGAGAGTATGTGAGACGAGCTTCTGCTTCTCTCTCTGCTTAGCACTCTGGTTCTCTCCCTGGGATCAGAAAAATTCCATAAATGTG